CTCGGTGAAGCACCGGGCTGTAAGTGAACTGAAAGGCGGTCGGTCAGTTTGAGCCCACCAGCTGCTCCGTGGGACCCAGAGGAGGCAGCCTGCTCCGGTCCGATTCTCGGACTCTGCCCGAGGCAGCGCTACCCTGTCCTGCTCCTCCCTCCGGGGGTTGGAACCGACTCGATGGCAGGGTTCTTCTTTTTTCTTTAAATACCTAGAAATGGGGAGTCTAGTGGTGAGACAGTTAAGGGTTTCCCTGCTCACCAAAAATCTGCAGGTTTGAGCCCATCTGCAGTGTCCCAGAAGAAAGGCCTGGAGGTCCACTACTCGGCAATCTCAGCCACTGTGCGCCCTATGGGCACACTTCTCTGGCACACATGGGGGTGCCATGAGCTGGGGTCAACTCCATGGCAGCTCCCTGCCCCCGGAAGTAGATCACGAGGTCTTTCTTCCAAGTGTGACTTTGGCCTTAGAAAACACAACACAACACAAGCCAACTCACTGCCACGGAGTTGATTCAAACTCCTAGTGCCTCTATAGGGAGAGTAGAGCCGTACATTTTCATGGGAGCCGAAAAGCCTCAACTTTCTCCTGAGGAGCAGTCCGTGGATTTGAACCACTGACCTTGCACCACGAGGGCACTTTATAGGTTTGAACCTTGAACAGGGCAATTGTCTTTGTGCCCCAAAGCAGCAAGTTGATTGTGAAGGGGTTCTTCTACCTTCCGTGACCTGGCCTGTCTCCCAGCAGGAGGGCAGAGGCCAGGACAGGCGACAACTGATTCTGGTCTGTCCTCCTCCAAGCATTGCGTGCAGGAAGCCCTCCCAGAGCGCCCGTCCCCCTCACCAATGTCTGCAGTGCCAAGGCCAGCTGGACCCAGCATCCCTGCAGAAAGGTGTTCTCCACAGCAGAGCCGCTCAGGAAATGAGGACCAAGGCCCCTAGGGACAGATGTGCACCACCACCACCACCACCTGACAGGCTGTTGCTGGCTTTCTACTTCCGTAGACAGTTACAAAAGTGAGGAGGACTTGAAGCAGCACTTGCTGATGAAGTTCAAGGATTGCAGCCTTCAGTATGGATTACCACTCCATGGCAAGAAGACCCAAACCCTAACGACTGGACCAATAGGGAACATCATGATCAGTGCAAAAAAGGCTGAGGTGGTCAAGGATTTGGGCTTGCTTGGACCCACAACCAGTGCTCTGGAAGCAGCAGTTAAGAGATCAAAAGACGCATCGTGTTAGCTTACTCTGTTGTGTAAGACCTCTGAAGAGCAAGGTTACTTTGAGGACTAAGGTGCACCTGACCCAAGTCCACTGTGTCCGATGCACGTGAAAGTTGGACCTTGAACAGGGAGACTGCAGGAGAACGGATGGTGTGCTACAAAACACAGACCAGCTGCACCAGGGCTGCTAGACGGACAAACCATCTAGGTTGGAAGAAGTAGGACCAGAGAGCTCCTGGTCAAGGATGGCAAGACTTCATCTCACCGACTGGACACGAGTCAGGAGAGCAGTCCCGCAGTGTCCAGACCGGCATGCTGGTGTGGCCGTCATTGTGCAGCGTGGACAGCGCCGGGATAAGCATGGCTGTGCCTTCACCAAAACCAAACTCACTGCCACGTGCTGGTGCCGACACCCAGTGGTGCTGTGGGGCAGAGGACAGCTGCCCCTGTGGGGCTGAGATGAGACCATCATGGGAGCAGAAAGCCACCGGTGGACTCAAAACTACTGACCTTCCGGTCAGTGCAACGAGTAGCCCGCTGCGCCACGGGAGGTCGTGGGTGGGTCCTGTCCTGCAGTTCTTTGCAGCAAGGTTGAGGTTGCCGGTTGAGGTCCTGAGTCTGTATTTGCATTTGTAAGGATGGGCCCTGCTGTTTCCCACAGTGGCACAGAGAGGATGTTATTTGATTAGGTGCTGTGGCTCCCCCACCTCCATTTGCACGCAGGTCCAGTGCTGCTGTGGGGGTGGGGGCCGACAGTTTGTAGGACCCCCACTTTGTTTACCTGAGGGGCTTACTTAAGGCTCTGTGCAAATCTGGCGGCAGGTGGGCGGGGCGTCCAGCAGCACTTGACCTTGTTAGAGCTGGCGCCTCTGTCCTTCAGAGGGCCCCTCACGGTGCTGCCCTCCATCTGATGTGTCCCCAGGCCAGCACCCCGTGTTGGGGGACACCAAGGGGACCCCCTTGAGCTAGATGAGGCCCAGCAGAAACCCCTCACCCCGCTTTTCTCCAGGTCACTGCCACACATCCCCTTGAGACACAGGTTCACCTACTGAGAGATGGGTGCTCTCACTTTAGTAAACAGTACTTCTCCTGGAGAGGCCTGGAGCTTGGTGCCCACTTCACTGGGCGATGCCTGCACTTTGGGGTGTCCTTGGACGAGCTGTGTGAGTGATGCAAGAGCAGTCGGTACAGGGCTGCAGAACTGAAGACGCTTGATCAGGCCTCATGAGACATTGCTTGGCCTTTTAATGCAAAAGGGTCATTTTAGCTGAATGTGGGGGAGGGGGGGTGGCTGGAGAGGGATGTGGCCTAGCCTTGCTTTGTTAACACCTTAACTCAAAATGCACATGGTGGTACTCCTGCCTCTGCTCCATCACAGGGCTTCCTCGTTCGTGTGAGTGCCAGGGGCTTTCAGACAAGCAGAGGGTTCTAGAAGGGGGTGCTCCAGCCTGCCTTCTGGCTCCTGTTTCAGCCATGAAGGACCAGGAATGGTGACGGGCAAATCCGACGCACAGCCTGCGAGCCGGCAGTGAGCGAACGGAAAGGACACTTGTGGACACGCACACGAATCTCTCACATGCCCTCAGGCGGCTCCCCCACACACGTGAGCGCATACATGGAAGGGAAGGCCCACCGAGGGGAGCACAACTCCTCCCCCCCAGTGGGTCATGATGAGAAAGAGGAGATTCCACGGAGGTTGTTTTTAAAATGTTGAGCACGGGATAGGGTTAAGCTGCTTGTCAAGAAACGTGTGTGGAACACCAGCCTGGACATCAAGCCCAGACGGCCGAGGAGCTCTCTTCTGCACAGTCCATGGGGGTGGCCGGGGGTCCCGCCGCTCCCCTGCCCCTTCCTGCAGGCTCTGGTCCCAGCACTCACTCCCTGAAGCCGCTGTGGCCCAGGGGTCTGGTCAGAGTACGGGGACAGTGAGACAGCAGGCTGCCACCTCAGCCATCTGACCCATGTGATTCCTACAGGGCAGGGCAGCCTGGGCTCGTCTGGGAAGGGCACCTCTCCTGCGTGGTCTGCGCTGGCCCTGGGCACCTCCCTCCCAACCGGCGATGCAGCAGCCCCAGCCCGGCGAAGAGAAACCAGGCGCTTGTCAGGTTTGAACGTTTATTGGGCACCCCCTGCAGGCCAGGCCTGAGCAGGGATCCCGCCACACACAAGTTCACCGTCGACCCCACAACAGCCCTGTGAGGTAGGATGGCCCGTCCCCACTCTCACCCAGAACCCGTGGGCTCGGCCCCTGCCCACCGGCTCCCGGGAGCAGGCGGCATGCAGTGCCCCCTCCCCGAGTCTAGGTTCAAGCATTTCAGAAAATACAAAAGATTTGGTCCCAATTCGCGCCCATCCGCGAGGTAAACCACCCCGACATTTGCACCTCCCACCCATCGTCTCCGCTGTGGAAAAGCAGGGTATAATGAAATCAGACGGAAAAATCAGCATGGATGTATCGTTTGGAGTCTGCCAAGTTGTACGTGTCCTGTCCGCCACCGTCCACTCAGAGCTCCCACCCCACTCCTGCCTCTGCCTGCCCCCCAGCAGGTCTCTAGGCCTGCGGGGGACACACGCTGATGCACAAACAGGTGGCCGGCAAACACCCCAAGTCCTCACCCAGCTCCCGACAAGTGCGCGGTGTTCCCAGGACGATGACAAGCAACTGGGGTGCCCCGTGCTGCCCTCCGCTCCGCTCTGCCAGGGGCCCCATGGCGAGCAGCCCAAGCCCATCGCCTCACGGTGGAGGAAAGGAAGGAGTGGGTTCCACTATGGCCAACCCTGAGGCTGAAAGCACGCCCTTCTTCGACCCAAGTGGGTCTCACTGCCAATGCTGAGCGAGGTTAGCAGGGCGAGCTGTGAACGCAAAACGGGTAGGCTTCTCTTTGGTTGCTGGGGTCAGGACACCCCGGCTCCGGGTTCCGAGTGCTGGGCCTGCAGGGGCTCTCTTCACTTTTATCTCCCTCTCTCCAGATGAGTGACACTTGCCTCTGGCCAGACAAGCCCCGAGACTGGGGTCCAACGTCTTCTCAAGCAAGAGATGCTTCAGTCCCCCCCCCCCCACACACACACACACACCAGACTCCACAGGGGGACGGCCTCTGTCAGAGCCCTGCCGGTGCTTCTGGAGCAGGAACAGCCGGGGCTCGGCTGACAACCCAGAAGAGGGTCGGACGGCCTGGAGGACTTGCAGTCTGTCTGCCAGACGCTCCTGTTGCTCTTCTGGGGACTTCCACGGTGAGGACACCCAAGTGACAGGCAGGGCACACACCTGCCGCCTGGGTGGCACTGGAGCGCTGCCACCGTAGAGGCTAAAGGCAGCCCCAGGGCTGTGGACTGAGCTTCAAGTCAGCCTGTGCGCTTACAATACCCCCTCTTCTTCACAAGCCACTCAGGACGCTCAGCTCCCGTGGCTGCAGGGAGCTGCGGAGCGCCCGCCCGCCACCCCCCCGAACCTCGCGTGGAGCGCCAGGGCCTGAGGTACGGGAGGTTTCCTCCATCCTGCAGACATGCAAAGGGGCGCCGCTGGGTGGACACAGGTGTCCCGGGAGGGAACCACGGGTGCTGCTGCCAGATTAAAGAGGAAAGGCACATCACACCTGGGGGCAGGTGCTGGGGCCACTTGGCCCTGGGTTTGCAGCGCTCCCCGGTGCACTGATCTACGGGAGGAGCCCCTGGCGGGTGGGGCACAGCTGGGCCCCCCAAGGGAAAGCTCTGTGCTCCCCAGAGGAGCAGCCACAAGTGCTCCTAAAACACAAACAAAAGCCACACATCACTGGACAGGAAGATGAAAAGAAGAAGAAGTCATTTAATGATTCGGATGAGACTGTGCTTCAGGGCCTTCCCAGATACCCCTGGGGTCGCTGGCTGTCGGATGGGAGGGCCTCAAACATCGCAGCCCCTGTCCCCCAATTCCAGAACTCACAGGGAAAAAGCAAGATCAGAGAGAGACTAGAACCAAAGTCCTCCAGAGAAGAAATCCCAGGATCATCCGACTTGGAAAGAATTTGATGAGCAGAACGGGGAAGAAGGGTCCAGTGAGTCTCCACCAGAAGGTCTCCTCTGTCCTTCTGAGGGCCCGACCTGTCGGAGCACAGCCCCTCTCAGCGAGCAGACCACGCCACGCTGACACCGTGGTCCATCAGTCTGCCTTTCGGCTGCTTGGCTGCGAGGCCTCCAGCGCTCCCAGCTGGCTTGGCACAAGAACGCATGCAGAGCAACCGGAGCCCAAGGGCCTCACCAGTTAATTTTGGCAAAAAAAGAAAGAAAAAAAAAAAAACAGAACAAAAACCAAATACCCCCAAAAGCTAAACTTTGTAAGCGGAATTAAAAGCCACTGAAGTGGAAACAATGTATTATTTCAGCAGTGAGAGTTCACTACAGCTACAGCTATGTCTCTTTGTAAGTCTGGCCAGCCTCACCCCAACTCAGGTCAAAATTCATTCACAGCAGCGTGACCCCGAGCCCTCTCCTGAGCAGGTGTGCTCTGCTTCCAGGTTCAGAGTTCACAGGTCAGGCTCAGTCCGTCCGGAGGATCATGGGAGGGTGCTCGCTGTCCTCGTCCAGCCGTAGGGCACCAGCCTCCTCCTCCAGACAGGTGCCGCCCGCTGCTCCCAGATCATCTGTGTAGGCTGTGGGGAGACCAGGGATCACCGCCGAGGCTGGGGCTGCAGGACAGACAGACAGGCCCCACACAGACACACCCCACCACCCCAGAAACTGACTGAGACACGCAGACACGACATAGTAGTGACTGACAAACACACACACACACCATTGCGCCCCAGCCAGCCCCACCCGCGGGGCTGCGTGTCTAGAGCTGCAGCCCCTGCTGACACACTCTGAGTGTCATGATGCCCTTCTAGCAAGGACCCTGTAGTCCTGCTGGCACAGTGGTTAAGTGCTGGGCCGTTAACCGCAAGGTCAGTAATTCACAACTACCAGCTGTGCCCCTCCGGAGAGAGATGAGGCCTTCTACTCCCACAGAGGAGGGCATCCTATAGGGCACTGACTCAGTAGCTGTGGGTTTAGAAAGCAGGGAGCCATGGTGGATGCTGGAGCCTCCTTGGGAGCAAGACCCGGAGACCTGCCTTCCTGAGACCAGGGCATCCCACAGGGCAGTGCCACTCGGTCCTGCAGGGGCTTGCTAAGGGCTGGCTCCCGGGAGCTGCTGCCAACTGAAGGCTGGGAGGTTTAAGCCCGTCCCGGGAGAGGCCTGGAATCCTGCTCCATCAAGACTCGGCAGCAGCGATTTGGCAATTGTGTTCAAGGACGCAGTAGTTTGCTGCTAATGGAGGGGGGGTGGCTTGAACCTGCCAGCTGGCCCAAGGCAGCTCCAGGACTGAGGGCAGTTTTACTCTGTCCTGGGGGGTTGCTGGGAGTCAGAACCGGCTGGAAGACTCAGGGGTGGCTCATTTGTGTGTGATCAGCAAGGGTCCTGCCGCTCATGCCCAGCACTGAGTGCGTGCTGGTCAGCATGTTCAGCTGCTGAGGAGGACGTGGCTCGAGTCTGCCCAGAGGCGCATCCGAAGAAGGGCCTGGCCATCTCTGCAGAGACCGCACTGGCCCTCCTGCAGAGCAATACTCCTCGGATCCGAGTGGGATCCCTGGAAGTGGGTGGACTGCAGGACAGAGACTGGGTGGGGCCCTCAGCTGGTGCTGAAGCAGGGTGGTATGCCACCCCTCGTCAGGGAGCCTGCAGAGAGCAAGTCCCAGGCTGGGCGTGGGTTTGACCTGACCGCCTGCAGGCAGATGGCTCACGGTGGAGAGAAGTGTCCTGAGCCTCTACCACCCAGTGCTCCGAGGGACCCCAGGAGACCCCCGGCCGGGCAAGCAGGCAGGTGGAGGGCAGAGACTCAAGACACAAGCACTTTGTGGGGACAGAAACTCGGCACAACTTTCGCAGAGGAGGGCAGTCTGGCCGCTGAGCCTGAGCCACAATGGTTCTCTCCAAAACACACCCTGGACCCCTGCCCCTGCTCCCGCCCCTGCAAGCCTTGGGCCTGTGCGGACTTGGCCCGAGGGCAGGCTGGGTGCAGACAAGGATAAAGCCAAGGATAAGGAGTAAAAGAGGTGGCCACCAGGGCCATTTACCTTCCAGGTGGGTGTCACACTCCTTACCAGGTCTGGTCGGGGATGGAGGCCCATACGCGCCCTTGGCTGGGGCTGCGCTATACGGTGGGGTGACTAATGGGCACTCGGGGGACGCCGAGTCGAGGATCTCACTGGCCGTCTCCATGCTGCCGTCTAGC